GAAAATATCTATCATTTTAGGAAATCAAATATCTTGTTACACTAAACAAAACACAAGTTATTGTACGAGACATTTGTCACATATGGACGAAGAAGAAAGATGATAAGTACAAGTTTATGTACGAGACATTTGTATGTACAAACTTTTCCTTAAACTTTTTCCAAACACACAGATTATGATTCATTGTTGAAATCGAGTTTGACTTGTAAACTAAATAAAGGACACTGACCAATGACAAATAAACAAACAATGGATAAAAATTCTAAAATTCACCAAAAAAAATCGCCACGAATTAGAGAGTTAAGAACCCTTAAAACCCATAATTTCTCATTCTTCTCTAACTGAATTTGCAGTCGTGGAAGCAGAAAAAGATGTCGATGAGTAGAATTAGGGGAATTTCCCCCAAATTAAGTTTACCCAATGTAAACCTTTTCTGTCAATTAGAAAGTTTAAAAAGGGAAAGCGATATACTATTTAAGGAAGGTAATATACTTTTGTTGAAAACTCGTAAGTTATCATATTTTATTTATAAAAATATTTTTTATAAACAAAATTATGGGTATAAATGGATTTTCATCTAAGGTAAAGTATAGTTCACCAAAAATCACAAATAACTGTATATATGGACAAAATCCAATAAAAACATCCTTTATATCCAATTTTCCCATAAATTTAATGGTTTTGCGATGAATTTAATGCTTAAAAAAGGAAACATGTCCATCATCTAATGCTTCTATTAATTAGGATGCTAAAAAACCAACCCCATTGGCCATCATTTTTTTCTGGAGTTGTTGGATGAGTTTAATAACTTATAAATAAAGTTGGGCTAAATTTACGTAAGATGCGGTTAAATTTATTATTCGTTTTGATTCGATAAAAAAAAATCAGATGACCGTAATTTTTAGTAAGCAAAGTAAATACTAAGAGGGTGTTATTCGTTTGTGTATTTTAGTTGATTTGTAAATTTTATATGATTTAAAATTCTTTAAAATATGTATTTTTCGGATTTGATTTTTTGTAAAATCATTTGAACACCACTAAAAGCCACTGTGAAATCAAATCCATAAATAAGAATTAGTGTTTATAAATACAATAAAACATTATTTGAACATGGAATTTAATATCATAAAACCAATAACATTTAATTTGGTCTTGATTTCTAAATCCATTAAAAGACAAAAACCAATATACTACCCCCCCCCCCCCACCCACTAAATACTTAGAGACATATATATAGCTTCGATTGGTAACATTGTGTTACTGCAGAATGGCAGACAAAACAAATTAATCTGCAGAAACTTTATTTTCTGCGAAATGAAAACTTGCGGAATAAAATTATTGGGCGATTTTATAAATTTTACGAAATACCAGAAATCAAAAATTTATAAATGAATTTTTACTTAGATATTATTTAATATATCATAAAAGATTATTATAAATGTGAAATTTAAACAAAACCATGATAATAAAATATTTTTTTCAAATGGTAATAAAATTTTAAATATTATAAAAAGAGCAATTATTTTTTACTTGTTTCTGAAAATATTCATAGTGATACATAAAAAAATTTAATGATGTTGCGTAGCCCAAATCATAGATGAAATTTCAGTTCTAATAATTTATAGTCGAACGATTAATTAGTGTGGTCATTACTTTCTAATTGTTTTTCCACAAAAAAAAAACAAATATAATGGTAGTTGAGTTCATTTATGTTCGAAAGATTTATTATTATTCTCATTAATTTTCAATTGTTTTTCCACCAAAAAACAAGTATAATAACACACTTATTTGCTTAATGAAGAATTTTTGTATTTTTTCAGACAAAACGCAAATTTTACGTTTTGAATTTTTTTTTCCAGTATTCCACAATTTTTGTATTGCCAAAAAACCTGCAGAATTGCGGAATGGCGGAAAAACGCAATTCCGCAGGTTTTTTGCCAATAAAAAAAATTGTAGGATACTAGAAAAAAAAAAAATCAAAAACGTAGAATCTGCGTTTTGGCTAATTCTGCAGTTATGCAGTGTTTACCAATAATCTACTCCACTCTAG